GGGGCAGGAGCAGAGAGAGCCCAGGAGGGTGTAGGTCTAGGAGCATGGGGCCAAGAAAAAATGGCATGCGCTAAGCCGTGTATGGCCGTGCGCAGTCATGGGCTTCCCAACACCGTCCGGGGGACTTCTCAGCGTTGTGCTCCAGTCTCAGGCACAGAGGAGAGCCTGGAGCAGAAGCAGTGGGTGGGCAGCGGGGAGATGCATGTTGCTTGCAGTTGCCACAATGGCCCAGGAAACACGGGGGAGGCAGAGGAGACTTGCTGGTATCGTTCATTGGACTGAGTGCGTGGTTGGGACATGTTGGACAAGCTCTGGGCACAACATTTCCTGGCGCTGTGGTCAGGCTCTCCCCTGCGCGGGGTGAATCCCTTGCCCTGTTGGAATTCCTTCCTTCTCTTTTGATGCATTAGCTCCTCGAAAAATGAAAATAAAGCCTTCTTGTTCACCTTGAAGGTCAAGTCGGTGGAACCAATGGATCCCAAGATGCCATTGCAGATGCTGCCCTGCCAGGAGTTTATGACTCGAAAGGACATTGCCCAGCTTAGGAACGTATTAGTGGCAGCGAGATGCACAGGACTCTTGAGGATCCTGCCCCTGGGGGTCTTCTCTCGTTGCAGTAGAGTTGCCCACGGTACTTCTCTGCTGTTCAAGGTGACAATGTGCGATGTGGGAATCCTCACCCAAGTCGCTTACAACCCAAGTGAAAGACCAGAGCGCCTGCAACACGATGGGAGGAGGGGATGGCCAGGAACTCTTAAAAACAGGGGCATGACTTGCTTCTTGTGGGCACTGCATCGGAGAGATCTGCCCGTGTCAGGAGCTCTGTGCCCTTCCTGGCCTAGGGTGCAAGGATTGCCCCGTGGGGTTTCCATACGCCCGTGTTACTGCAGCGCCAAGCAGAGAAACGGCAATGGCAGACCCCAGCCCTCCGGGGAAATGGCTTGAACTGTTCCTGGGGTGTTTCCCCAGGTGGGTGACTGCTGGGGGAGCGTGCGTGTGCTGGGGTGGGTGGTTATTCTGGATGGCTGTGCATGTGTGTTGGGGTCACGGTGTGGTGTGTGCAAGGGTCTGTGTGGGCAGGGTGGCAGGTCGGGGACTAGTCGCATAGAGGTTTCGTGTGTGCAGACTAGTTGTGCGTCTGGGTGGCTGTTGCTGGGAATACCGGTGCGTCCTGGTCCGAGGTAGAGTCCTCCGCTCTGATGTGCAGGGGGAGCAGCGCGGGCAGGACGGGTAGGCGAGGGCTGGAGGGGTGCAGTAGAAGCAGCGTGTGTAGCTGGGGGGTTGGGCGGGGGTGTCGGGGTGCTGTATGGAGGCAACGGGGTCATGTGGGGAGGGGCAGGAGTGTGTGGAGGGGGGTGTTCGGTGCACGTGAATGAAGAACATTTTCAGGGAAAAGCCAAGTTGCAGAACTTTTGCATCCGTTTCCTCGCTCCGAGCGCAGCGAGGCCCCCATCGTTCTTGTAGCTTGGCAGGGGGTCTAGGGCGAGGCCCCGTCTCCTGCATGCGTGAGCCTCCCCCAGAGACCGGGAGCTTTGCGGGGCTGGTGCAATGCAGTTCTCGTGGGAGAGT